CGGTCCGGAACAATCGCTGGTGGTAATCGATTCCACAAGGAAGTTGTGCGAGGAAGAAAACATCTTCTAAATCGCACAGTGGTGGACCGCCAATCATCCAGATGGTGTGGATGGTATCGAGAGTTCTCCCGCGATGTGCGATCGTGAAGTTTGGCGTCTGGGATTAATATGAACAATCCCCGTGGTAAATGCGAAATAAAATGCAATGGGATGCAACATATCTTCGCAGCGCTGTTGAATCTAGCCGATCGGAAAGGACTCGGTCGTCGACGATTCGAGCCGCTCTGCGCTGGATGCGATCAAGTGGAAGGAGTTGGCACTATGGAGCCCCAGCCCAGATATGGCAACAGTATTCCATGTGAGGCCGAACCTGCGAAATTCCAAATTTCTAATACTACGTTTCAATTGCGAATTGTCAACCGCGGTATTTCTAATTAAGTTGTTATTAGGAAGATAGTGTTGCCTATTTTCTGACTTAGTTTCACTTCGTCGCCTCTTACAACTCCCACGGAATCATATGGGGTAGTGGATTCTGTAAAGCCACCGCTATTCGAAAAGGTTCCCGAGTGGTAGCCTCGTATCATTAGTTGCCCGTTTTGCCATGGAACACTAAAAATAATAATGAAAATATATAGAATTCACGACTATAATAAAACTCAGTTGTAAAGGCTTTTGAAACTACTTTGAATATGCAATATGGATAAGCTGATATCTGATCTTACGGGCAATGACATTTGTAAATAAGGTAATAAAAATTCATGGAAGTTTGCACGCGTCTGTGATATGAGTTGTATGAATTATGTAAGATTCTCATATGCTTTCTTCACTGTATTATACGGATATGATCAATGCAAATATTAAGTAAGTAAGTAACTGCTGTACATCTGGATTATTCCCAGATTTAAAAGGTAAAGACACAATATACATAGATCCTAAGTCTGGGAACAGGTTTTTCATTATTGATAAGAAATATATGGATATAATGTGAGTGAATACTGAATAGGCTTTTGTTACGCTAAGTCCCTTACCTCCTTCGGTACTATGAGAACTCTGGTATTTTCCGTAATATGAGATTGAAATGGCAAGCGCTTATTTCCTGAGTTCGTTACTATGAATGATTCACCGTGTAGCGACAGTGTACGAATACTCACTACACCATATGGTCCTGGATGTCGTAAGGGGAGACAGAGGGAATCAAACCAGGAGATAGGCAGCAGCGTCTTGCTGGAAAATAGAAATCAACGGTTGCTAACCCCCCAAAAGAAAATATCCTCATTAAAAGACAATCTATGGGGATGCTTCTCTTTGGACTTGGAATTGGATTTGGCATTGGACTTTGATAGTCTGTAATAAATGAATGAATATTTTACATAAACAACTTAATAATGATATACTGATCACTTAGCGGAATGAAGGGATCAGTGGCGAGTGGGCTAAAGGTCACTCTGACACCTGCACATATTATTATACACACTTATTATATCGTCTCTATTTATTGAGTTTTCGTTGATTTAAAAAAAATTGGAAAAAGAATTTGAAATATGACTTCATATGAGTTTTACGTCGCCATCAAGTTTTTACTAAGCACGGAAACAAACTATTTTGGAGGAGAGGTCGTCGGTGTACAGGGACTCATGCCCTCTTGGCAACCTTCAAAGCAAGACAATACTTTGCTTAAAGAGACAGACGGTCAGTTAACGTAATGATATTTGTATACATACATACATAGTTAAATTCATTTTACGTGGTAGAGCCACGCTGCGGCTATATTATGGCTGTAGCACGAATGGGTTAGCTCGAACGGGAAAGGACCACGCTCTCACAGAACACCAGCGTAAAATAGCAGTTTAATGCTGCTGTGTTTCGTATGGTGAGTGTAGAGAACCGGAGACCCTTTTTACTGTAAACGACCTATTTCATCTTAGTCGTTATGGGTGACGACCTATCTGCATTTTGATTCATAATCTGGGATAAACGTAGATGTCTATGAGTCATAGAATTTACTTACCATTACGTGGATTATGTGCTCGTTTGTAAACCCTAATTCTATAAAAAATAAATATATGGTAGTTTATTTATATCTTTACAAAACACACAAAAGCATTCTGGCCACGATTTGTGGATAGATTTTTATGCACTGCGATGGATTAAATAGGCTGCAGCTTAGTGTGTGTATTGCTCTCGAGGAAGCAAAAACGCACTAATTTTCAGCAACCATCCATGATTTGTTTTCTCGCTTACAAATAGAACAGTCTGTGTTTTTCTTTACCGGTTACGTTTTTAATTACGTTTTGCGTTTTTGATTTGTCTAAAATTTTTTAAGCGTAGTTTTTAATGTGTTAGGCCTAAACTATATATTAAGTAAAGTCCTTGTAACTAAAAAATCTCCACAGACACAGTCGTGAAATTTGATTAACTGTCAAATTCCATACTTTACATTTTAACTCGCATATTTCCGAGGAATTTCTTTTGTGAAACATGATTCTAGCTTAAACCGTAAATTCATTATGTACGTAAAGTTGTAATAAGGCCAAAAATAAAATATTCGCTCAAAAATTATTACATTTATAAAAAACGCAAAAGAACATGTTTTTTGTGCTTAAACTTACGTTACCATCCCTTGGGCCTTATAAATAATACCAGCTAAAATTCAAATATTGTGTTAGCGTGGATTGATATTAAAAATTATTTCATAGATCATAAAAACAACACGCTTTATTATTATTTCATGTTGAGCCTTCATGGAGGGAGTCTGCAATAAAAATGTGAATTAAAAGCATAAGGGAAATCTTAAATTTTTCCTTTACTTGAGCAGGTTAGGCTCTTTTTCTATCAAAGTCCGTCTGGACAGCTACCAGGACTACAGGACTACCGTAGCCACTTTACTAACCAAGTGATATCCTAATATTATATTAGAAGCCCGCATACATATTATAGTTTAATACTGAACGAAATTATGATACTCATGGACAAATTTAGAGGGATGTGTGTCGGTGCATTGTTGTGTTTTCTTCTAATCTATAAAATTAATGTTTGTTTGTTCGTATTTTATGCGCTGCCTTACCATTCATCAGATTGCGCTAAAACTTTGTTAACTTATTGCTTACACTTGCGTTAAGGTTATAGGCGTAGCAAAATTAACTCACAGTAGTGCGCGTATCGTACCAGAAATTTATTAGATAGTTATATATCATTCAACTTAAATGAAGGTAATATAATTTTTAATTAAACAATATACAATATAAACAATATACTCTTTCAAATTTAAAACGATGTTTCCACAATTATTTCTTCTGTGGCAGCAAAGCGCCGGGTATCAGCTAGTTAAAAACAAATAATAATTAATTTATATAAGAAGACATCTAGAAATATTATAGAAGTGACATTGCGAACAATCAAAATGCATTGATAAGTATTATAGTAAAGTAAAGGCTTAATATGTCTGTGCAATGATTTAACGTATAAAACCTCCATACAAAGTTTGAACCAATCCAAGGGGGTCGATTTTTCCATACACTTTATTCGAGATCTGCTGAAGATGAATACAGTCAGACTCATATATGAGTAGGTAAGAAGGTCGATCGTGACTGAATATCGAAATACTGTTATCTTATATATAGGAAATGGCGATGGCATCACTACTAAATATAAATTAATACGAGGCCCAAATACAAATCAAGTTAACAAATAACAAATACAATTACGATCAAATTACACAAATACAATTACTATTTATTAAATTAAATACAAATTACACCACAATTAGAGGTACACACTACAGTCAATCAGCAAAATGCCTCGCGCAAACAACCGACCCTTCGACGATTAATCTACTATAATTATACGCCAACGATAATTATCCGATTACCTGATAACCTTATCTACTTAGTCAAAATACCTGACGCGTACCTAGCCCTACCAACACTACGGGCGTGGTTCCTCCCTCTACCAGCCAACAAACAAAAAATATTTATATGTAATTTTTTTTAAGTATTATTTTTATCTATATTACGGCCGGGGGAATGAAGAACCAATCAACCACGCTCTGTTACCAACAATGTACACACCCTTAGCTGTCTCGACAAAGATCGACTATACAGGGGCCCATATAGCTGTAGACTCGACGGATAACTAAGGACGGGGCCCAAATGGCCTTATTAATTAACCTACACGACAGTGATAAAGCTAGGTAAATAAATAGTTCGTACCTGTTCAGAGGCGAAGAAGAACCATATCTTGGTTGTTTTTAAAAAACATGACTTGTCCTAGATATGTAAAATCTTCTACATAATCCAGTAGGGTTCCTCCAAGTCTAACAGCTTTGTGCTCGCCATTAGTCATGATCTTGAATTTTTGCCTATTTATTTCCAAGCCTATTTCTCTACACTTACTTTCAAATTCCCTGAGAATATCTTTTAAGACCTCCGTGGTCTCAGCAAAGATAATGACATCATCTGCAAACCTCAGATTATTTAGGTATATTCCATTTATTCTTAATCCTTTATTTGACCAAGACATATTTCTGAAAATTTTCTCCAGAACTGCATTGAAAAGAATTGGTGAAATCGGGTGATCCTGTTTGACACTTTTTTGCAATGGAAATGGTTCCCCCATTTTGTCTGTTTTTATTCTTGCCTTGCTGTTTCTTTAAATTTATTTTAGGATATTTATATCTTTTAGTCAACACTTTGTTTGAGTTTCGAATAAAAAATCATGGTAAATTGAGTCAAAGGTTTTGGTAAAGTCAATGAAAGTCAGATATACTGTGTAGCCATATTCCATACATTTCTCTATAATTTGGGTGACTGAGTGTATGTGATCAGTTATGCTGAATGTTGGTCTGAATCCTGATTGTTCCACAGAATGCTGTTCGTCTAAAGTTTTCTCTATTCTTCTTCGCAAGACTATCATTAATAGTTTGTACAAGCCCGAGGAAAGATTTATGGGTTTATATTTATATATATTATGTAGGTTATCCTTGCTTCCTTTTTTGTGTAATATTGTTATGTTTGATATATGCCACTGTTTTGGTACTTCTTATTTCAAAATATTGTTGAATAAATGTGTGATGACTTTATGTAACTCATAGCCCGAAAAGGCCCGAAGCTTTTTCATTTTTGAGTTTTGATATCGCTGAAGTTATCTCGTCAACCAGAAATGGTTCGACATCTTTACACTGTTTTTTCTCGTAGGTACTCGGATCATAATTGACATTAGTATATAGTGTTTTGACATACTTTGTAGCTATGTTTACAATTTCCTTTCTCATCTTAACTTTTTTACCCTCATGTTTTAAGTTTGGTATTAGTTCTTTGCCGATAGATATAATTTTTTCAGCTCGTTTTATCGCACAGTTTTCTGCCAAAGCTTTTTCTATTTCCGCAAGTTTCTGGTTTTCCAAATCTTTTTTGACGAGTTTTCCAAGTCTTTTTTTCACTGCTTTAAGTCTATTTTGTCCGCTCTACTTTTGGCTTCCGTTTCTGTCAATGTTTATTTTAAATTTTGAAATATTCTGGTCTACAAAAAATAATAAATATCCTTTTTTATTTACGGTTGTACTTTCTTTGTTTCTTTCATAGCGGTGTTTATTATTTCCTCTATGAGATTGTATTCATTTTGTACATTTTCAGAATTTTTAAATTCAAAGTTTTTAAATAGTCTTCTTGTTATTTCCTCTATTTCTAAAGCAGAGTCGTTTTTATTATATGTCTTTTGTTTATATTTCTGTGTTTCTTACAGTTATTTATTTTCAATATCATTTCGACAGGACGGTGATCAGAAGCAAAGTTAAGTTTTCTGATTGTTGACATGTTATTTATATTAGTTTTGTTTTTTATTAAGAAGAAGTCAATTTAGGTTTAATTTATTTTATTATGATCCTCCCACGTCCATCTTCGACTTGTTCTTGATTTATAAAACGTGTTTCCCACCTTAAGATTTAGTGTCTGTGCTAGGAGTATAAGTCTGTCACCTCTGCTATTCCTTCTTCCGTAGTTGTATTTTCCTACATGCTATTCTTCACCAGATTTTCGTTGACCAATGTGGCTGTTAAAATCACCCATAAAAAATGTATGAAATATATGGCATGTTTTTTCACTTACCGGCGCCGGCGCAAACACGGCGATGTCTCCCATCGGTACCGTCGCCGGTTCCGTGATAGCAAGCTTCCCACTCGGTGCTGGCCGTCAAAACCGCTTGTGTATAATACATAAGCAAGTGGTGGTTCTTTGTAGGTATAACAAGCCAAACTACAAAACCAACTACAATAACCAACAACCAGAAACCAAGCTAAACTACAAAAGCAAGGAAGTTGCTTGGGGTTCTCGTATAATTTGCTCCTCAATCAAGCTAATAATGGAGCGTATTATGATATGTTTATAATTTGAATTTAAAACGAATCAAACAGTTTCTTCAAATTATTTCTTTTAGGTAATCTAGTTTAACCTTATTTTCATCACAAGTGAAACTCGTTACATCATCACACTTAGTATCACACATCATCCTTCGCAGATTGCGTGTAGACATTACCCTAATTTTCTGAAGATTTTTCTTCTTCAACATGGTCACGTTCCTCAGACGCATCGTTAGTGATATCATCTATGAACTTTTTTAAATGTTTTTCGGAATTGGAAGCCTTTTTTAGCTGATAAACACACAAAAAATTGAAATGATGTGGATAAAAATTATACGAAAATATTTGCCTTTACAATTAAAACCATGACGATATACGTGATGGAGCCACGCTGCAACTATATTATGGTTGTAGCACGAATGTTTCAGCTCTGCCAGCGTAAGACGACGGTCTCACAGAATACCAAGTAAAATTGCAGCTTATAATACTGCTGTTTTGTATGGTGAGTGTAGAGAACCGGAGACCCATTTTACTGATAACGAAACATTTCATCTTAGTTCTCAGAAATTTTAATTCTTAATCGAGGATAATTGTAAATGTGTATGAGCATCCGTTTAATATCAGGTGGACTGTGTACTCGTTTGTTACCCTTATTCTATAAAACATGGTTGCTGCACAATGCATAGTGGCAACTGAGCGTCCGTTACGCGATGAAAGAATACGTGAATTGCGAGAACTAGAAATCAAGTTATTTAAAAGATATCATTCTTGTTACCGTCGGAGTGACGTGTCAACCTAGTTACGCTGTGCAGTGGCAACGTAACAGAATTCACTACCTCATATTTTCGTCCCGAGGGTATCGTAAGAGGCAACAGGCGGAAATGAAATGGGAGACGGGAACAGCATCTTTCTGATAACAACTATTAATAACAAAAACTACCATTGCCAATCCACCTATGCAGTGCGTCAAATTTAGCAAATATACCCCCAATATGGCACTGTATGGGGGGGGGGGGGGAATTTTTGTTTTTATATGATAAAGGTAACAAACTAGCACACAGTCCACCTGATGGTAAGTGGTTGCTGTAGCCCATAGATATATACATCTGCAGCATGGCTCTACCACGTAATAAAACTATGTTCAGAGTTCTAGGAGGACTAATTTCAGAATTGGACTTTTAATAGGCTGTATTAAATCAATGAATGTATATTGTCGTTAAAATTAATAATATCAAAAAGTTAGTTGGTGTTGTAATTAAGAGTAAGCTGATTTACAGTAACGTCGTACAATTTCCATGACTTAATTCCACTAGAGTTACAGTATGAAACTTAGTTACGAGTTAGTTATGTTGGCATTAAGTAAGACACGTTTACGTTTTATGTTAATATAATCTGTATCTGCCAAAATAAATTAGGCCAAAATTACAATATTTAAATTAAATTTTCGTAATTACTAATCATAAATTATTTTATACTTCTTCATAGCCTTTAACAGCAAAAGAGAGGGATGAGAATGTTGGGGACGGGCATTTCCTTCATTGAAGTGAAACTTCTTTATTGACGAAGTGGAGTTTACTACGATATTATAAATGAGAAAAACCTCAGGTTTTCTTGTAACCGTTTTATTGCCGTGGCTGCATGAATATATTATTATTTAACCTACTTTTGGACAATATAAAATTAAAGAAAAATGATATGTCGTGAAGTTTATTACGAACAATTTTTTAAGAACGTGTCGTCAGACAATGTTCTGTGTTTGGAGTAGCTGGCGGGATGAGTTTCAATTTGAAATTTTACAACTTTTACTTACAATAACAACAACGTCATAACTAATAATAATAACTTCCTCCATACCGAATTTCGGTTACGGCGGCAAGCCTTAACTATCTGCCAACCATCTTCACAGGATAGGGTTATGTGCCCAAGTGTATGCGCAAGCACAGGTGAATTCTCTATTACCTTACTTTAATAGTTCGATGGGCCAGTAAACAGACACGACCGGAGAGAGGCACATGATCAACGGCTTTACTGCTTTCCGAGGCACGGGGATGAACCAGTACCAACTTCCAGCCTCCGAGGATCTACTAAGAATTTCTTTACAGAAAAACTCAATAACTAATGTTTTTTGCCCGACCCGGGTTTAAGCCCGGGACTTCATGATCATGATCAGCAGTCGTGTAACAAGAGTCAAGATTTTGTGCTTTTCTTCGGAGGAGGTTTGAATATAGGCGTTTTCTTTTTTGTGGTGTACTTTTTTTTTAAATACTAGTAATATTATTAAACATTACTAATATTCCCTCTAAGCACTTCTGGTAAGTTCGAAATGCTTGTGTTAGAAGTGGTTCACGTCAGTAGTCAAATGACGGATTCGAACCCACGACCTTTCGAGTTCGCGGTCCGCGCCCTGCCATTAAACTACTGAGGCTACTTTTGAACGTATGAAGGCTGATAATTTGCATTTTATATTATGAAATTTCATAATTATTATCATCATTTCCAGCTGACTTTTCAACCGTTTTTAAGAAAAGGAGGAGGTTCGCAATTGATCGTAATATTTTTATATATGTTTAGCAATAATACTCTACCATATTGTCCGATTTCATTGATAATTTTCTTTTGTTAGAAAGGGTACCTCAGATGTTGCCACATATAAAATTAAAGATCTGATAATGTATACCATGAAACAATTACAAAATAGTTCTATACGAGGTTAACAAATTTCATCGATTAGGTATATTCTTTTTAGTTATTTGAAATGGGTTTTTACATTATTTACTTCTAACAACAACTTTTAACGACAAATGAGATCACAGTCCACCTGATGGTAAGTGAATTTTGTGGCCCATATACATTTACATTTACCCTCAATTAAGAATCAAAATTCAGATGAGTTGTCACCCCTGAGGACAAAGATGTAATGTCTTTCTAGTAAAAGGGGTCTCCGGCTCTCTACACTCACTATACGAAACAAAGCAGCACTGAGCTGCTATTTCGTACTGGTAAGCTGTGACAGCGTAGTCCTACCCTGATCGAACCGATCCATTAGTGCTACAATCATAATATAGCTGCAGCGTGGCTCTACCACTTATATATTAAATTCAATCATAATTAGTATTCATTCGATCTACCACGTACATTTTAGTTTAGTTTTAGTTTTAAGTATAACGCTTTTTAAGTTTAGAGTCCGTACTTATAACAACTAGGTTATAGTGGCTTCCAAACATAAATGTGAATCAATTTAATAGTTCATGGAAAGTTAAAAATTTGTATATTTGTCGTGTATTAAGCCCACGCAAATTGTCTCGATATTTTGTTAATAGTTTTCAATTATACGGAAACTTATATACATGTACACAGGTGTTAGGCAAAATGGGCTTGAGTTAGCCTTTGAATTAATAATGAAGCACGAATACTCGCTGGTAGAAGTGCTAAAATACATTTAGCTAGTAATCATGGGACGTACGAAATTCATGTTACATAATCGTTGCTTCAATCTAGTGAAAATTTATATTTTGACTAGACTTGCTAGAAAAGAATCAGGCTATGTGGTCTTATTTAGGTTTAAGATGATCAAAGTCTTTTTATTTTCATATTTGAAAAAAGGTCCTAGTTCCTCGAAAAAAAAAAACAGCCCAAATCTTTTCTGGCATTGCTTTCTATCTGTTTGTGTAGTTTCAC